ATGTAATGAAATGCGTAATGTGCGCCTCTTTCAGATGTCCTGGGGGTCTTCTTGGAGACTTCGTGGGCGATAGTGAAAGCCTTGTCGGCCATCTTGAGGCCATTTTGGGCCGTCTTCGAACGTTCTTGGGCCGTGTTGGAGCCATCTTGGGCCGTTTTGGAGCCATCCTGGGCCGTTTTGGAGCAATCTTGGCCTCGAGAGCGCGAATCATTTTTTTGTGCGCAAACGCAACCCCGCCACCGTGCCTGGGTTGTTGATATGAGACTTGTGCGGTGATCGTTGGGATCTCTTGGGGGGCTTTTCGCGGGACTCTTGGAGGCAGTTTCGAAGCCTCTTGGGGGCCGTTTTGGAGCCTCTTGGGGGCCTCTTGGGGCCTCTTGTGGGCGTCTTGGGGGCCTCTTGGGGCCTCTTGGGGCCTTCTGGGGCCGCCTTGGGGCGGAAGGCTCGGATTGTCGGTTCGGGCTCCCCCTCTTGGGCACCTCTTGGGGCCGTCTTGGGGCCCTCTTGGGCTGTCTTGGGGGCCTCTTGGGCCGTCTTGGCGCCCTCCTGGGCCGACTTGGGCGCCTCTTGGGGGCCTCTCGGGGCGGTCTTGGGGTGCTCTGGGACCGTCTTCAACGCCGTGAAGGCCGAGAAGTAGTATGTGATCAAAATGTACGTTTTCCCATAGGAATTGACGATTTTCGGCGCTTCGGCCCTTCTGAGGACTGCTCTTGGAGGCGTCTTGGGCCGTCTTGGAGGCCTCTAGGCTCGTCTTGGGGGCATCTTGGGCGTCTGGGAGCGCTCGTTTGGCGCCTCGGAGCTCTCGTGAGCCGTCTTGGAGGAGTCTTGGGGCCTTCTTGGCCCGTCTTGATCCCCTTTTGGGCCCAAAAGAGCCCCGTGGTGCGCTCGTCTGCGGCCCGGGGGGGGGGGGTCAAATCTCCGGTTTGGGGTCCCAGGGGGGGGGTTAGGGGGGGGGAACTATCTCACACGCCTAGAGACCCACAAGGGGTCGGCGGATTTCAGCCAGGGCGCGGCGCCCCAGGCTCACGAGGGACGCCGTGTGTGCTGAAGAACATCGCCTCTGTATGGGCTCCGAATTCTGGACGCGTCCCGCATCCCCACCAGCCGGCGGCCTGCCCACTTCGGTTCGGGCTGCTGCGCCTAAGTGCGATTGCCCTGTGAATTTAGTTCATTTTGTTATGTGCACGTGCAACTGCGGGTTTGTCTTGCAGGTGCGAGCTTTGTCCGCCGACTCTGGCGGCAATTGTCTTGCAAATCAGCCCCGTAACGTGACCCGGACGCCGCTTCCGCTCCCTGTCCGTTGCCTCGGAGCCGCCGACCAAAAAAAGTATCCCCATCAGCCCATCCAGAAACGATTCCCGCGCGAGATGCGCTGATCAGAGAAGTGAAACAGCATGTAGTTCATTAGTAGGCCGCATAAGAGGTGGAGGTGGAGGATGAGGAGGGCAGGAGAAAGAGGAAATAGTGAAGGCGATAGTCCAGAAACGATTCCCAGGGGATTGTGTAGAGGTGGGGCGCAGGTGGGCATATAGTAACACATGGAGGCGAAAAATGGTTAACCCAATCTTCGGGGAGCTCCTGGAGCCGTCTTGGGATAATCATGAAAGCCTTCGGAGCTCTCTTGGTGCGCTCTTGGGGCCCTTTTGGGGGCTTTTCTGGGGGGTCTTCAGGGTCTACATGGGAAACCTTGGAGGCCATCGAAAAAGGGAGGGGTGGGGTTCGTGGTGTCAGCGCCCCCGACGGAAGCTGAACATAGCCTGCTGGGGCCCTCTTGGGAAGATCTTCAGGCGCTCTCGGGCGCTCTGGGGGCTGTCTTGGAGCCCACTTCGTCTCCTCCTGAGGCTCTCCTTTGCGACTTGGGACTGTCTTAGAGCCTTCCTGGGCGCCTTGTAGGGCGCTTTTCGTACGATCTTGGAGCCATTTTGAGGCCTCCAAAGCCGATCAGAAACAACAAAGGAAAGACCGCAACAAAAACTAGTAAGAACATAACGCAGGAAACGCGCATCGCGCCAATCTCCTGCACCTGTCGCGAAGGACACACGTACGCAATTCCGTTCCGCGCAACGCGCGGACAGAGACGGGCCATATCGATGAGCACGCATCGTTGCTAAGCGTTGATTGGCGTGCGCCTGGCGTAAGCGCCGCGAGAGCGTTTTGTCCGCGCGGTATAGTATATCGCCGTGCGGCTCGCACCAAAACCATGACGTGGGTGCATTGTGGTGGAGATGATGGTCCATCGTGGGGTAAATCCAAGCATCGGTGCATGACCGAATCGTCGTTGCTCCTGTTGCGCTTCTCCGCGCTAGGTGCCAGTCATTTCCCAGGGTTTCGTTTTGCCTCGTCGGATAGCTTGTAAGAACCCTCCGAACCCTGCTCGCTTTCTGGGCGGCGCGCGTCACCAGGCGGATCGCCTCCAGCAGGGCCAAGGTCAAAGCGCCGACGTGGGGCTTCCCGTCCAGGCTGGTCGCCGCCCACGCCGAAGGCCGTCCCCTCGGCCAGGCCTCCTGGCTGTCCGCCAAAGTGGTCGGCAGCATGGGGCCAGGCAGGCTGGGCGTTCTCGGAACGCGCTTCGATGCTGGCCTCGGAGGCCGCGACTAGCAGGTCGTGCAACGTCCACTGACCACGGGGCGTGCTCCAGGAGCGTCTTCGCCTCGCTGGCCTCCCAACCGTCCAGGGCGGCCGAGCCCGCGACGCTCGCCACCTGCTGCCGGAACGTCGCCCGAGAGGGCGGTATCCACCTGCGGGGAGGAGGCACCACGGGCACGCTGGCAGCGTCAGCAAAAGCTCGGTCCACGCCTTCGCAAAGACAAGGGGGCTGACCATTTCCCCGCTTCCCTCCGCCCGGGGCCGGGTTCACCCTGGAGGCGGGTGCCAGGGACGACGCCGCTTGGGCACCAGTACCGCGACCATTCAGTGCGCTTACCCTCTGGGCCGTGGCCTTGGCAGCGTCAGGGCCCCACCGTTTGACACGACCCTTCCAAGCTTGAACGGCCGCCTTTTTCATTCTCCCTTCCTCGGCCGTGATAGCGGCGCGGAGGATGTCCGCGGCGCCCCCGAGGCACGAAGGGATCGAGGGAAGGAGGCCGCTCTGGAAAGCCGGAACCCATCTCTTGAGAAGGGCAGTTGGGGTCGGGGCTTGCCTGGGCGGCGCCCCCCCGCTGCCAACTTCCGCCGACTTCCACGACTGTTCCAAAACCCGCTGCAAGCGGCACAATCTCGGTTACCTCACCGTCTCTGACCTTCTCCTCGCAGCAGACGGCGCGACGGGCCGCTGTTCTGGCAACAGCCTTTGTCACGCTCCCGACCTCGAGCCGTCTCAGCAAGTTCCAACCGACACGCTTCCCGCATCAAGGCCTCGGCGCGGGCGTGCCACGTCTCTAAAGTTATGACACCCAAAATGCCTCTACATTTGTTTAGTCCACGTCTGTCGCGATGGTCCTGGAAAGTTTCCGTGAGCAGCGATTGGAGTTTTCGGCATGTGCCCAGTCTTCCTGGGAAATATATTGTATGTTTGGAAGCATGCAGGTTCCACACATCGGCCACCCTTCTGCTGGCAATTACCTTCAAAAGAATAGAGACTGTACGGTACCTTTGGGGGTCACGTCCAAGATCCCTGACATTTTTCGGTGATGTCATGGCTGATGCGTTACTCCCCCCAGCGCAATGCCAATTTCCACGACACGGAAGCGAGCGGAGAAGCCATATCCCCGCGGCGATAGTTTAGTTTGCCACCTTGATTTCGCCGACTGTCTTGGGGAACGCATCGCTCGGAAAGGCATCTCCCGGTCAGTTGCGGGAAGTTGTCGAGGGCTTTGTTTGGGCATGTATGCGGTTTGGTCGAGTTCAGAGGTACGTTTATGTGGCCAACTTGGGGAACTGTAGAATTCCTTCGAATTTGGTCTTTTTCTGAAGACAGCGGCACTTAGCGGCACGAGCGTTTGCGGCCTTGATGGGGCCGGCGGTCTCCTTCACACGCCCGTGGTTTCACGGAGGCCGTCTACCCCGAGCCTTGACTTACATGCCCGAGGCCCAGATGGGGCTACACGGCCTGTAAGTGCCACCAATGGCAAGTTTCGGAACCACCCACGGTCACTAAGTGCCACTAAATGGTAATTTGCGGAACTACTACCGGCCACTAAGTGCCACTAAATGGTAGATGTCGGGCTACTAAGTGCCGCTAAATTGTATTTTGTTTCTCGGAGCCACTCACGGCCACTAAGCGCCACTAAATGGTATTTCTCGGAGCCAGTAGCGGCTGCTAGGTGCCACTGAATGGTAATTTTCGTTGCCGCTAAACGGCCGCTACAGGCCGCTAGCGGTCATTAAGTGCCACTGAATGGTAATTCTCGGCGGTCGCGATTGTCAGTCCGAAGTTCCCCAGAGAGCCCACATGAGTACGTTTGCACTCTCATGACCCTCCAGACCCTTCGAGACGGTCTTGGTGGGCCCACTTGAACTCACAAATCGTTCGGCACACTCGAGTTTACAAACCGTTGGGCCGACTTGTGGAGGGCGACGACGACGAAGCGGAAGGAAGGGATGGGAACGAGGACGCGGAGGGGCAGGAGGGGGAGGCCCGAGCGGACATGAGGCGGCCTGAAGACAATTCTAAGGAGCACGTGGGCGAGGAGGAGCAAGAAGGGGAGGACGAGGAGGCAACGACGACGACGTCGGGACGATGACGGTGAGGATGACGGTGATGCTAAGGATGACGGTGAGGATGACGGTGATGATGTTGATGATGATGATGATGATGATGATGATGATGATGATGATGATGATGATGATGATGATGATGATGATGATGGTGATGGTGATGGTGATGGTGATGGTGATGGTGATGGTGATGGTGATGGTGATGGTGATGATGGGAGTGCGTGCACATGAATGGGGTAAGAGAGCGGCTTGTCGTTTGCCAGCAGGTCTGTCAGAACATCTCGCAAGCTCCGAAGTTTTTTTGGCTCAAGGGTTGAGCCTGCGACCTCCGGCCTTGGCAGTTGATGGCCGGAGGGCCTCTCCAGAAGTTGCTCCTGCTCGTCGGTCACGAGGCGCTGACCTACTGGCTGCTTCGGCCACCCGAGCCTCCGACGCCGATCTGCCCGCCGTGCGAGTGCAAGTGCCCGGCGGCGAGGGAGCCGTGGGCCGCGGTGCCGACGAACGCCGAGGAGGCGGACCCGCAGTGTAGCTCGCTGCCCCACGCCTTCGGCGCCGGTTTGGCGGGCCAGTTCGTGGCGCGGCTTGCCTGGGAGTGCGGCCGCCGGGCCTGCTCGTGCTGTTCGGGGTGCAGGCGCCATGGCGATCGCCCTGCACGCCGCCGTGGACTCGGAGTTCTGGAAGACCCTGATGCTGGGGTCCTGGCTGCTGGTGTGGTACGGCGACGACCACGTGTGGCATGAGAGGCTGGCGGCGTGGCCGGTCCAGGGCGCCCAGTGGGTTTTGCAGACGCCAGACAAGGAAGTGTACGCGGAGTACCTGGACGGGTCGGACCCGGATGGCCTCGAGCGCGCCATCCCGCTGCTGGTGGACGGAAGGCCGCCTCGGCTCGGGGCTCAGGCGTACCGCTTCCAGCAGACTCCGTCGCGGGACGAGCTCAAGGCGGTGATACGCCAGGGCCGCGCGCACGCGGAGGAGATCGTCCGCTCCGCAGGCATGGAGCTCCGACGGCCCGAGCAGGTGATGGTGAGGTTCGGCGAGGTGACAACGCTGGACGACCTCTTCGGCGGCACCTTTCCCCCGCGACGTCGGGCTCGTCTGGGTGCCGCCGCCGATCCAGGGGCCGCAGGAGGCGCGGGCGGGGGGCAGTTCCAGGCGCGCGGGCCTGGACCGGCCATTGCAGGCCACGTCTGGGTGCTGGCGGAGCCCTCCGTCATCGGATCCGTGGGCAGCCAGGTCGAGCTGGGGGCCGAGGACATACGGGTCGACAAGTACGACGCTCTGGTGACCCGCGGAGATGGCTATCGGAGGGTCACCTGCATTCGGACGAACCTCGTGGAGAGATTCATTGCCGACAGGTGCGGGATGGTGCGAGCGGAGCTCCTGGTCAGGGGCGAGGCCCATCCAGAGGCGAGCTGCGCACAGACCATCCTGGGCGCGGACCCGGGCCAGGCGGCCTCGCCGACAGTTGCTGGCGACAGCGGGGGCGCCCGTACGTTCTGGTTGGACTACGACGAGCAGGAAGCCAGGTACAAGGATTTCCGTAAGTGCTGCCAGGAGTCGCACACTCGCGTGGATCCAGATTTCCCGCTGCAGGGCCCCCCCCCCGTGCACGCCGTCATTCGCCACATGGAGCGCCACGGGGGCAATCCGCGCCTTTGGCTGGCCATCTGGGCGCGAGAGCGGCGCATCGAGGACTCGGACCGCGTGATGCACGAGATGCGGTGCCTGATCGACATCCTCTTCTTCGGTGCGACCTACGATCAGGTTAACCTCCCAGCGCTCGCCAGCATGGAGGTGGCCGTGCGCCGGGTGCAGACCATCGTCGACGCGTACCAGGTCGCTGGCAGGGCCCCGAACTGGCAGCTCGCACGCTACTTTGCGGGCACGTCCTCGGCGGTCGATGCGATCGCACCTGAGACGAGGCAGTACGTGGACATTGCTGCGGGGGCCCAGCGGGCGCGGACGCTCCAGGCTGGCTCCTGCGAGGACGAGGCGGAGGCGGAGGTCGGGGGAGAGGCGGCCGAGGCCGCGGCGGCGGCGCTGATGGCCGCGGCCGCGGCAGTGGCGCCCCCCCCGGCGCCCAATGACGACCCTTGGGCACGGCGGGGGGAGTGGGCCCCCCCCCGCCGAGACGTATCGGCCCACGTCGGCCGCCCTTCCGCCGGGGCGGGGCTCGCGCCTGGTCTCCCCGATGCCCTTGGTGGCGGAGGGGCTCGGCGGCCGACGCCACCGTGAGCGACGAGGACCTCGTGGCCATCGGCGCACCTTCGCCGTCGTCAATCGGGCGATCAGGGCGCTCAACTGGTTGGAGGTCCTGGAGAGCAGCACTTTTTTGCGTCGGCGCGACTTCGCCGGCGTGCACAACGAGGTAGTGGCGCGCATCGAGGGCCTGGTCACATCCCAGGAGCCTGTCCCCGACGCACCCTCGCCGAGATCGTCATTTTTGCAGATGATCCGTGGCGTCCCCCTGTGCGAGGAGTGCCAGTCGAACATTGCCCCCTTCCAGCTGCGCCTTGTCTCTTTGCCGGCCGACGTCTCCACGGCCCCGTCCGTGGGCGACCTCGTCGACCAGCAGGGGCGCCTTTTTTCTGGAGGGTCGTGGAGAGCGCATGCTTCGAGACACCAGCGTGTTTGAGAGCTTGCGGCGGCGGGATCCCGTCAAGCCGTACTCAGATCCCCGCCTGGCGCGATCGCGCCGGCAGTACCTCCGGTTCGTTCGCCGTCTACGCGATATCGGCATGCCCCGGTACACCACGCGGCCGATCGACTTCATTGGATCCTTCTTCGTCTGGAAGAAGGGCAGGACCAAGCAGATATTGATCCTAGACGGGCGAGCCGCCAACCAACGGTTCGCTCAGCCTCCCCGCGTGGACCTGCTGACCGCCGAGGGCCTCTCGAGCATCGAGGTCTACGTCGACGAGGACCCTGAGCTGGCCACCGACCTGGGCCGAGGTGCCCTTCGGGCGCTCCGAGTTGCCTTGGGCGTGGCCGACGTAGAGAACTGCTTCCACCGCATGATCATGCCGCCGTGGATGAGCGCCTTTTTTTGCTACGAGCCAGTGTCCGCCGCCGAGATCGACCCCTCGGGCCTGCTGCTCATTGAGGGCGATCGGGCCTGCGGTGACACCCAGGTGTTGCCGGCCGCGCGCCCTCTTCCCATGGGGTTCGCATGGGGCCTCTACTTCTGCCAGAGCGCCAACACCAGGCTCTCCGGCAGCGCGCCCCTCCTCCGTCGCGCCCGCTTGCTGTCCGACCGCGGGGACTGGGCGGTCCTCGCGACCAGCGCCCCCGAGACGGACCTCTGGCGGCACTTCTACGCGGGCAACCTCGGAGTCATGGCAGGCGCGCCGAGACGGTGGAAGCCGCCTTGACGGAGCAGGTCCAGGTCTTTGGTGAGAACGGCCTGGACATCCACGAGGTCGAGCTCTTCACCGAGAAAGGCTCCGCGCTGGGGGTCGACCTGGACGGGTCGCGGCTCGTGACCTGCCTCACTGCCAAGCGGCGGGTCAGGCTTGAGAGGGGGCTGCATTACCTCCTCGAGCGTGGTCGCGCGAGCGGGCAGGTGGTGGAGAGCGTCCTCGGGCATTGCACCTACGCCGCCCTCATCAAGCGCGAGACCATGACCGTGCTCTCAGCCGCATACGCGTTTGTGCATGCCACGTACACGAAGGACGTCGAGCTCTGGAAGACCGTCAAGGCCGAGTTCTCCGCGTTCGTCGGGCTGCTGGTGTTCATGGAGAGCGACTGGTGGCTGCCGTGGAACAGGGGCGTCACCGCCTCGGACGCGTCGCCGGAGGGCTTCGGCATTGTCAGCTCTCGTTGGTCGCCCCACGACGTTGCCAGCGTCGGACGAGTCCGCGAGCGAGGCCGCTTCCGCCGAGGAGGGCCGGTCGCCCCGCGGGAGTCCGCCATGGCGGCTGCCGGCTTTGTGCTCTAGGATGGGCGCTGGCGGCCGCGGGAGGGCGACGAACTCGACGAGGACTGGTCCATCGTTGAAGGCTTCCCCGAAGTGCCGGCCCGTCTTCTTCATCCAGAGCGCTGGCGTGTTTGCCGCTCCGGCACCTGGGGCAGGCACGAGCGCTTCACTCTGCTGGAGGCTCGCGCACTGCTGGCGTCCGTGCGTGGGTTGACACAAATCACTATCGGCGGCAATCGCAGGCACCTCCACCTCTGCGACAGCATGTCGGTGGTGCTGGCCGTGAGCCGGAGCCGTTGCCGGGACTTCTCGCTGCTGACCGCCCTACGCAAGCTGAGCGGTTTCTTGCTGGCCCGTAACATCAGGCTGCGCGTGAGGTAGGTGCCGAGCGAGCTGAATTTCGGTGACGAGCCGTCCCGAATCTTCTCGGAAAAAGCATCGTCGTCGCTCGCCTGGGCCATCCCCGACGTCGTCCGCAAGGCGCGGCCGTCGCAGGCTCGAGCCGATGAGCGAGGAGCGGAAGCGGCGGCGGACCTTGACCGCGCGGGCCTCAGGGGATGGGCTGGATCGCAGCTCGGGAGCGACCCTGGCGAGGAAGGTTCGGACTCTTGCGGCGGCGGAGCCGCAGCTACCAGCCCGCGCGCGCACGCGGGCGGGGACCTCGCGAGCGAGACAGCTCGTGCCGCAGCTGCCGTTGAAGGTCCTCCTGCAGCCGAGGGCGCCCGTGAGCCAGACGCTGGGCGAGTGGGTGAGGCAGACCGTCCGCGAGGAGAGCGGCAGCTACGTCGGCAGGCGCGGCACTCCGAGGCCGCCCGCGTCGAGCTCCTCGAGCACTGGGCCCGCATCCGCGGGCGTCGTGCGGGCCGCCCGGCGAGAGCGGATGCTGGCGGCCTGGTCGAAGCGCCGGCTCTGGCGTTACCTCGGCGAGAAGTTCAGGGCCGGGAACGACGGCCTCACCCTGCTCGAGTTCGAAGCGCGCGGTGACGGACAAGGTCCACCTCGAGTACGCTTACGAGGTGGCCTTCTTCGCGGCGTTCGCGGCGGCCCAGGGGGTGCTCGTGGACCGCGCCGAGGCCGACGCCGCGGGCGACGTTTTCGCGTCGTGCCTCGAGCAGTGCTTCTTCAAGGGCTTTCAGCCGTCGACCGGGGCCAAGGCTCTGGCGGGCTGGATCCACCTGCACCCTGCCTACGGCCGCTGGGGCTCTTTGAAGCTCCCGCGGGCCTGGAGGGCGCTTCAGGGGTGGCACAAACTCTGCCCGGGGCGCTCTCGGAAACCAGAGGGCCTTGGCGTGTGGTTCGGCCTCGCGAACGCCATGTGCTACCTCGACCGGCCTCGGATGGCTGTGTTCGTCCTCCTGGCCGTTTCGACGTACCTCAGGCCGGGGGCGCTCCTGGCCGTGAGGGGGGCCGAGCTCATTCCTCCTGCGCAGGGCGTCACTCGCCACTGGTCAGTCCTTGTCCACCCTCACGAGCGACCAGGTCGGAGCAGGATCGGGGACTCGGACGTGTCCATCCTGCTCGACAGCGACTGGGCCAAGGACCTGAACCCGCTCTGGGAGCGCCTGCGGGCCGCGGCGGGGTCAGGCTCTCTTTGGGACTTCGATTGCGGCGAGTATCTCCACACCTTTCGTCGTGCTGCTCGGCTGATCGGCGTGCCGGACATGGTCCCGTACCAGACGCGCCACAGTGGTCCGAGCGTGGACCGCGCTCGGGGCTCCCGCTCCCTGCTGGAGGTTCAGAAGCGTGGCCAGTGGAAGTCAGGCAAGAGCGCCCCCCGCTACGAGAAGCACGCCAGGCTTGCCGACTCGTTCCATCGGCATGCAGCCGGCCTTCAGGCCTACATCAAGGAGCGCGAGGGTCGCGGCGCGGAGATCGTCCTCCACGCGCGCCTCGCGCCGCTCCCTGTTCCGGGGCGGAGCTGATGAGGGCAAGTACATCGCCGGCGGGT